AACTATAGGCTTTCATCTATAAAAAACAAGAATCAACTTTACAGCAACAACTCATCCAGATAGGTTTAGTCATGATAACGGTTTCTTGGTTGCAGCTGCAATTTTGACTGTTACGGTTACAGAAAAGGGATGTTGCATTATGGGCCTGGCATCCGCACTGTGTTGGTAGATCAGACAGTACTGAGTCCGTCTAGCTGGCCAGGATAGTGAGTTTCTCCTCTACAGATCCAGGAACCTTGGAAGAATGCATGAAATCATAAATGTTTTCATGTGCATGATAATAGTTCAAAACTCTGGCTTTGGACTAAAAAAAAACAACTAAGAAATAGTTGGTCTTACCTGATTCAAAAGCATCCAATGGTTCCTTAGATGGTCAAAATAAGGACTTTCAAAATGAGAGCAACCAAGCCACTTACCTTGAAAGTAAGATGAACTAATTTGTGAAATCACAAACAAAAAATTTGAATTTTACATGGTATCAATCTGGCTGTTTTACATATACCGTATATACATTTATATACAGTAACCGTTTTTTTCTAAAATTTTATATCAAGCAGCCTATTTCACATTGTGTGTCACTTTAATACCCAAACGCTTCTGTTAAAACTAAGGGAAAGTGAAAAAAGTGAAAGTTCAATATTTAGAGTCAACTACTAGATGTTTCTGAGAGTTTCTAATGACTGCTGGAACCACTAACACTTATCAGAATGCAGCCAGTGATCTCAAAGATATAGGGAAGGTGTCATTTCTTTATCCTGCTGGTTCCATAACGGAGAAATGTGATGTAAAATGTCTGCTTGTGTGTTCCTGGTATTAACTACTCTTTTTCTTGTGTATCCTCAGAGAAGGTTGAGGTCTTGGAGCTGAACCTGACCCGTGCTGTCCATCAGACAGAGTCCTGTTATAGCCTGAAGGCAGCAGCTGAAAGCCAGATGTTAGCAGCTCAGAGTCAGACCAAAGCCTGCAATGTAGAACAGCAGTACGTGAAGCTACAGTTGTGAGTCCACTCTTCAGTCAGCAGCTTCCAGTTTCAAACCATTGCTGGTTGAGGCTTTTGCTCTGATTGGGTTTCTGTTTGGGTTCCAACAGTGAAAAGTGTAAAGCTGCTCAATCCGAAGCTCCGCAGGGGAACAAACAAGTAGAACCCATTGAGTCATCACCTTCCAACGCTCCCCTCACTGGTATTCCTGCCCTGATGCTACTTATTTGTGCAGCTCTGCATCTGCTAACTTGTAAGTACCAGATGTGTGATAATCCCACATGCATGATGCTAAATCACTCCTGGAGGCTCAAACACATCAGAATGCATCACAAGTTCACCTCTTCCTGGATTTTAGATGAACATTGATAGATTGATTGATTTAATTGATCTCACAGTGAAGAAATTCACTCATTACACCAGCTTAAATGGACAAAAAAAGAGAAGAATGTGCCAAAGGTGGAAATAAGGGTGCATGAGATATATACAGTATATACAGTGCATCCACAGATGACAGCTTTTTCTTATTTTTATAGTAGGATTATTATAAAGGGTTATTGCACAGGTTGTTTAAATGGGTATTTCTGTGGATTGATATTTGAATTTATATATATACAGTTATTGCACTAGGTGGGAAAATGGAATATATGAATGATATTGAATGAATATGAATTTAATGTTTTAAGAGCAAATTAATATTACAGCCATATGACAGCTTTTAGCAAATATGATACTGTAGGGAGCTTTGATGTTCATCAGATTAAAGCAGGATTTGAAGAGTTAGAGCCCCATCTGGTGGATGAATGATCTCACTGCATCAATTTACAAAATCCCTTATAAAGTCAGTCCTGGTCTAAATCAAAGGTTCCCAAACTATTTAGCTTCTGACCCTTAAAATTATACCAAAGTCAACTCATGACCCAAATTATTGGTTCAGCACAAATATTTCCTCACAATCAAATAACCATGGGGGTAAGGGGTCGTGGTAGCCCAACATTTTCTGCGTTTGGACATTTTTTTTTAACGGGAGGAACAATCTAAATGGCAAAAGTTATTTTAGAAGATATTTCACACACTGACTACTTGATTGTGTAGAGAGTTTTAATCAGCTGCTTCGACCAGACTTCCTACAGCTGAAGGACATTTTTGCTGGATTATGAAACCCCTCTTATTGCCAACTCCTCATCACCTCATTTGGTGGAATATTTCCTAATTCTAAAGCTTTGGTTAAAGCAGCTACTGTAATTCTAGGCTCTTACGTGGTGGCAGAGCATTAAGCATTGAGCAGAGCAAGCTGTGAAACTGTTTTTGTCACCTCAAAGAAGTGTCACTTAGGATATGTGGATTCTCTGTTCAGTTTGTTCAGACTGAATATAAATTGAATAAACTAAATGTTTTAAATGCTTAATTATTTAAAAACAAATCAACCTGATCGTTAAAATTAATGTGTTCCAGGCCCAACGCATTCCTGTCACTCTAGTCCTCAGAAAGTATCCTAGTTTGATTGCAACTCTTTCATAAAAAATAAAAAAACAAAAAAACTTTAAACCTTTATGCCTGAATTTGTATATAAAGGTTCCCTGGTGAATGTGTAAAAACTGGTGCTGGGGGTAAGATTCCTGACCATGAGTCTAAAATATAAATCTCATTCTAAAGCCACTTTACATGTGTATCTTTCCACCAATGCTGGAGATGAATAGCAAATTGTTCCTGGATTTTTGGGTAAAGGTACTCAAATATGTTTATTCATAGAGCAGAGTGACTTTAGGTGAAATAAGACCTACATATGATTTAAATCAGGATGATTAATTGAGGACATCAGGACACAACTCGCCTTTTCTTCTGCAGATGACACAAACAAAGCCCTTAAAAAGTTTTCTTTCTGCCTTTATAGGAACCGGTCACCACTGCTGTGAGCTTTATTTATTCCATGAATGAAAAGCCCACATCTATATGAATAAGCTGTTATTCTTGAACCAAAGATTGAATGTGTATCTACTCACTTTGCCTTCATTCTGACAAACATTATAGATTTTATGGTTTAAAAGAATTTTCATTTTTATTTGCATTTTAGGAGTTTGGTGTGGAGGTGGGTCAGACATACAGCAAGCCCAACGGTTCAGGAGGAAGCCGAGCCTGGACCAACATGACTGCTGTACATACTTCCTGTCTGCACAACAGGGTCGCCATGGAGACACTGTCACATGATGGATGCTTGGATATTGACTTTGTTTCCTTGTTTTAACTCCACATCTGCAATGCTTGATGTTGGCCTCTCAAAGCTTTGCTCTTCTTCCCATCGCAGCGCCTCAGTTCAGATCAAAGGATCAAAACTGGCAGAACTTTTTACACCATTGCTTTTATTTTCTGTTATGGCTTTAATCAGGCTTAGAGCGACCACAAATGGATTTATTTTTGCTGTCAGTGTCTCCGCTAAATGTCTGTGAGCTTTGTTTTATCGCCACAATTGCTGTTTGAAAGTTTTTATCACTGCAGAAATCTTGCGTTTCAACTTCTAGAGGTTCTCAGATTCTGGTTTGAAATATGGCTCAGGTTGGATGTACTCATTTCAATAAATAAAACCTGAGGAATTTGTAAAAAAAAAAATATATGTTTTCTTTTTTCAGACAATCAACTAAAGCAAAAACAAATATTTTATTTTTAAAGTCTAACAAGAAGATATAAACCTGGGGTGCCCTCGGGGAGTCTTTAAGGGCTCTAAAGTTCCTGTGCTTCTACAAACCAGACTTCCATGTAAACAGGCATTGACAGGCTGCATTCAGTGTGTCTAACACCTGGTCATCATGTCCAGTCCTTAACTTTTTGGATGACTGTAAGAACGTCCTTAGCACAACTGCAGAAGGCTGTTAATCAGGAGGTCTAATGTGTTTAAGCAGAGAAACACCTAAAACATCGAGGAAATAAGTATACATTTACTTTCCTGTTAGACTAATAGTGCACAAGTCCAGTCCAGTCAAATTTCCCTTCGCCAACATTAAGCAATCTGTATTAAAAAGTAGGAATTTCAGACCCCAGTGTGGTAGATTTTAACCAGAAACAACTTTGAAAGTTAGAATTACGTCAGAAGTTTTGAGCAACAAGACCAAACCAAATATTCATATACAAAACACAAATAAGCTGCAATTTAAATCAACAGTAGTTCAATTTAACCGTTTTTAGCAGCAGTTTCAAATGTATGAAACATTTAGTCAGTCATACTACCCATTAGTGTATAAAGCCAGGAATTTGTAACTTTACGTGCCTAATCCTGCATAATAAAGTGCTTTTGTGATTGTTTTAACAATGGCCTTAGTGGCCATAGGAACATGTGAGAAACTAATGCCATCACCTCAGGTCACATCATTCTGGCTTCCCAGCTCTAAGGTAAAGAGAACACGGGATAACAGCTGAGTAAAAACCAAACGATTCCTGAGTGTTTAAGGGAGATATCTCAAAGCTGCAGCAGAGGTGCTCAATGGTGGTGCTTTTATTCTGAAACGATAAGGATAATTATACCCAACTCCATCTTCGAACTTAGAGTTTACAGGCGACACCTAAAGGAAGCCGTTTCGCAACAGCTTCCTTTAGGTCCCTCTGCAACATCTTTGACTGGGCCATTAAAGTACCTTTAATGCTGTTTCGAGTGATTCAGACGTTTTTCCCAAACTATTGTATTGAAAAGCCAGCCTAAGCTTTTTTGATAGACATTAAATTTGAATAGCGTAAAAGATTATGCCATTGGTGCCTCTGTCAGTTCAGTTTGTGAAAGACACCAAGTTTTAATCATCCTCTCCTACAGTATAAAATACCTGGTATGATCTGAATCACTGCCTTTAGCTTTTCTCCAACTTGAACCGGTGAATTTAAGGCAGACATTATTGCCTAAAGTTACAGCTTACCAACCGAACGGAAACAAACTCCATCTCTGATTATGAACCAGCTCAGTGATACATTTAGCATTCATTAATATCTCTCACACACTAGCCTGCCTCTTACTGAGGTACTATTCATAGATGGAGAGGATATATACAAGAACCAGATTTAAAAATATTTTTTATTTAACACAAGTTTTTTTGTGATTTGGAATAGCATCTAAAAAAATACAACAAAACAAAATAAAACTAAACAGTGTAATGTAAACAATGTAAAACAATATATCAGGGTTATTTTACATGGAATCAAGGTGTGACTCTCCAAATATTGACATCCTTTCGAGTCTGAGGTTAGCCATAGTTAATTCAAAGTTGATTCCTTTCCTCACATTAAGCAACTTTTTAAAGCTTATGAATAAAATTAAAAAAAAGTTATTTCAAAAGAGTATCTTCTGTATGTTCTACACAGTGTTTATATCTAAACTCTATACACACTTGAGGACATTGAAGTTGCAGAAGGTTCCTCTGGGACATCCACACAGCTTCCCAATCCTGGCCCCTTTACGCACCGCACACTGCTCACCTGCATCACACTGGCAGATGGACAGAAAAAAGCAATACAAAACTCACAAAACCATCCAACATCTCAAATGATGCATGAAGACTAAATGGAATGAGAAATGGTTCCTGTGTTATTATGGCAATGAAACATCTGAAGCCCAGTGTTGATCAAATGTAAACCCTAATATTGTTGGGGCTGGATAAAAAAGTCAGGCGAGATGGAGCTTACAGGTGGAAGCCAGCCCAGTTTCTTCTCAGTGGATGGCAGCTGTTTGTTCCTCAGCTTTTCCAGAACTTCCTGCAGGGCTTCGATCTGAGGCAGGAACAGCAACAGACTTCACTAAGTGCTGGAATTCACTTCAACCAGGAATCAGAAACAGAACTTAAATGGCACGGTTATCTAACGTGATAGACACATCCTAAGGATAACTTTCTACATGAGAAAACAGACAGATCTCTTTAGAAACCCCAGATTTCAAAAAGCCCATCTTAAACAAACTGAGTTACTAAAGACAATCTCAGCTCCTAGATCTGAAAATGAGACCTAATATTGCATCTATGTACATCAAACACTGCACCTCAGTAACCAGTCTGAAACGGCTCCAGTTATCAGACGACATTATGTCCTTGGTCGGATCTGGGACAGTGACCAACCGGTACACTGGTTCAGTCACAACCATCTGAAGTGTAATACATGGAGGACTGTGGATATGATGCTGAGCTTACACACACCCCACCCTCCCTTCCTTCACCAACAACAGTGTGAATCCTGTGGATCACTTGTGGTTCTAGGAACCACTCAGGGACAGGGATCCAAGATGATCCTCACTCATAAACACTGTTCTGAAGAAGGCCCAGCAGTAATTCCTGTAGAAACTCAGGAACTGCTGGTTATTTTCTACGCGGCAATCAGTCAGTGTGTCCTGGGCTCATCCATTACCATGTGGTTTGGCTAACACACACAACAGGACAGATCGAAACTACAACAAACCAGTCTATAAAGAGGATCATTAGGGCTTGGCATCCATCCATTCAGCATTTGTCTGGCTAACATTGTGCACACAAACAATAACCGAGGTGTCGACTCACCAGCTCCTTCTCCTCTTCAGTCTTGATGACATCATATTCAGGTGATCGCTCCTCTATCAGCTCATTGCAGCTTCCTAAAGCCACCAGCATCCAGCAAGACGCACTGAGGAGCAGCATCCTGCCGCTGACCATGGTGCTGACGGACTTGGACACGACGGCAATAGGGGTTGAAGGTTGTGAAGTTAGTGGATCTTTTCTCTTTCTGCTGGACATGGGAGGCTGAGCCTCAGTCTGGAGAGTTTATACTGAATATGAGCAGCTCTGACATCACACCGGCAATATTTACTTTGATAACGAGGCAATCAGGCAGCTCACCTTTGAGGTCGGCAGAGGATAGGAGCTCTGCTCCATCAAACAGGAAGTGAGGGGAAGATTTTCACCTTTTGTCCAACATGAAACATTTTCTGACCTAACTTGTTTTGCTGCCCAGTCCCTTCAAAAACGTTAATATCTAAGTAAAAGCCCAGTTAACCATGATTTATGCTGAACCAACAGCTGTCCACAGAAATCTCTGATTTTAATGCTCAAAGCTGCGGTTGCTCTTCCCTAACATAACTTATAGCATCTATATGCAAAACTGAGAAAAAACTATAGAAAAAAATGAGCCAAACATTAAAATCCACATGAAAAGTTTTCATATGCTGAACTTGGGTCAAGAACATAAACCTTATTCTGGCTTTTTTGGTGTTTGCCCTCCTCTCTCAGGTCTTATTACTGCAAATTTGTGAAAAGTTTTATTTAAGACTCTCAGACCTCAATCAATATTAACAAAATAAAAGCCCCAGAAAGACTGTAAATACAGATGCCTGAACAAACTTAGAATATTTCTTTGGCTAAGTTTATAAAAGTCCTCAGAAATAAGACTTTCGAAATGTTTACTTTAAAAAAAACAAACAAAAAAAACACACTTAAAAATAGATAAAGCCCTAAGTGTGATCATAGACTGTAATGTATAAAGACATTTTTGAAGTGTGTTAAAAACATCCACCCCTTTACCTCCATGACTTAAACTTAAGACCGTGACAAAAGTGGAGATGATTAAATCTAAGAGTTTATAACTTTGCAGATACTTTGGTAAATCTGATCTGTTCTGATTATAGCCACAAATCTTTTGACAAGTGATAAATGTGCATAAATTGCAAGGAAACAAATCAACATTTTACTAAGCTCTTGGAGCCTGAGGTACCCTTGTAAGAATTTAGACAGGATGTTCCTTTATAGTAAGCAGACTGACAGGAAGAGCTGCAGATCATCAGGGTCTCTCTGTGTCACCATTTACGTCAAAGCACCCAATGCTTTAATCTTTGCACGATGAAGTCAACATGCATCAGACAGCAGGAGAATCAATGCTGAGGAAGATCAGCGTGGAGCAGAAATAAGACACAGATTTAACCCAGGTCCTTCAATAAACAGGATTTAATATCCGAATACAATGAAAATGCATGAATCTGTAATACATACACAACTATTTCTCTTCAACAAATGATTTTAGCTTTACTAAAATTTTAATCTAATTTCCTTTCAAAGCCTCATGTAATTTACAATGAAAAAAAAAAAAAAAAAAGTGTTTAATAACCTTGAACAAAACAACTAACCTATACAATTTCCAAAGATTGTTTTTTCCCCAAAGCATCAAATAATGTTTAAACCACAAAAAAATAAAAAAAATAAAAAAAAGTGCTTCTTTGTTCCAAAAAGGTCCAAACGAAAAGCCAGAACAACAAACTGTTGCCTTTTCTCCCCGACCCTAAAGAAAATGAAACAAAGCAGAGATATTTCAACCCATGAACTCTGAATTCCTCAGGAAACACGATCTTTCTGAAGCAGGTTTTTGCCACACTAGGATTCCTGTTTGATCCAATTAGCTCATCAACAAGACAGAAAAAAAAATCAGGATCTTTTCAGAATATGAGGAAGCAAACAGTTAACTTTCAAAATAAAACTTCCTGTAAGGACAATAGGTCATACTGCATCTGTTGGAGAAGGTATTAGATTTGATATGATGCAAGAGATCAGAGCAGACAACATGATTAAGCGCAGAGGTTTGGGAGGAAGTCGTGTACAGTTCAGTTGGTTGTTAAATCTCTCATCCTAGACAGTTTCTTTCAACTTCAGAGAAGCAGAATAAAAGACAGAGTCCCTCAAAAAGACAGAAGCACTAAAGTATTTATCAGTATTGACATTTTCTATGTTTTGTGCCTCATGATCTGGAATAAAAATTGACTGATAGTTAGCTCCATTTCTACGGAAGAAGATTAGGGCCACTGGAAAAAAAAAAAGTTAACTGATTTTTAAAGTTTATGTCAGTTTAACATGAGATGTTAATGTTTTCTCAAAATTTTGGATCTTAATGTAGATGGGTACCGTGAAAGAAGAGATGTCGGAGCACTCAGCTTTTGTTTGAGAGGGCCAGTGACACATTGGTGGAAAATGATGGAATTAGGCAACTTTTTACGTGCATGAGGGGTCCCCTCATTAATGGAGAGTAACTGTAGAGTAAAAGTTAACCAAAAAGAAACTAAACACAAAACTGAGCTAGTTCTGACTCACCTGAGAGCCCAGAATTGACCAGTGTTGGGTGCTGAGGGCAACTTAGGCTGTGCCCGAACATCTGCCCTAACCCCTAAATCCCTCAATCACTATATAGAGCGGGAAATATATAGTGGACTTTATAGGGAACTCAGTTAACAGGCCATTCAAACAGATGTTCACCATTTTTCGCTCCCCATAGGCCACATGACTCTGGCTCCCCACATGGTGTTTGTGCCATCTTTCTTGCCCCCATAATGCTTTTGTTCGGACACACATTTAAACTGCATAACCACTATACTGTGCTCTATACAATGGGTAGGGTGGACATTTGGACCCAGCCTGAGGCTTTGCTTTCCATATTAAAGCTACAGGCTCAGCTACTCACACTGTAGCTGTCCCTGGATTACATAAAAGAAGATTAGCATCCCTCACAGCTCTGTGCTGCCTCAAAGTACAGCCCTGCTCTTCTTCCAACAGGTGCAGTTAGGTAAATCTGCACCAATCAGAATGACATGGTAGAAAGTGTTCAGATAGAAGCTCTTTGGCATAAAGTATCACTCTTGTATTGAATAAAATTCAACTTACACTTAATCTGATCAGAATTGGAGCTTCTGCATGATATTCCCATCAGCCCTTTACTCCAAACACCTATATTCATGTAAACATCTCTACTGTTTATATATGCTACTTATTTTTCTACCTTCACCTTCCAAAGCCAACATCTACATTGAAAATTTGGCTTAGAGAAAACCTAATATGACTTAAAAAGATGAATAAATATAGATTACATGTACCCGTTTTCCACTGGCAGAAAAAACCCAATTAAACCCGGGAACAATCGGTTTTCAGTAGCAGGGAGAACAACTAATTGACCCGCATAGACCTGGGTCAAATGCCTTGGCAAGCGAACTGGGTTACAAAAATAAAAAATGGGAGGGGAGCCAAATGCCAATCGTTATCTGGTCGACCTATGTTTGAAAAACCTGTGTTAACCCTCTAATTTAACTGGGAAAGAGCCTATTGCAAACATACTTGCCAGTTTAATATACTCAGTGGCTCACAAGGTGCTCCATGTTTTTCACCATGTTTTCTTTAACTTTTTTTAAAACTATTTTTGGATGCACCATGTATACTTCCACAGACTTTAGAGTTTAGTTACACGTATGTTGTTACTGTTGGTGAATAACAAACTGATGAGGAGAATCCAAAACAGCACCACCTTAAAGGAATAGTACACCCAAAACATGATTAGCCTTCATTTTCTACTCACCCCCATGCTGAACAACACCCTGGAGTACTTTTTTGATATCTCAAATGCATCTGGAGATCTGGGAGGCTTCTTGCTGTCTGCTGACATTCAAATAATGGAGGTCTATGGCGCCCAAGGCAGAAAGGTCCATAAAGGTCCACAAAAAACGTGTCATTATTCCTCCATACTGCTCGTCCAATGTATTCCAAGTGTCCTGAGTGGGTAGCTTCCATAATTTACTCGAAACGAAGTCATTTAGAATGTTTTTAGAGCCTAAACAGTAGTGTATAGGATTTCCTAAAAGCGCGTTTACGAGTCTACGGAAACCGCGGCAGACCAAACCAGACGAAAGTGCGCATTCAGCTCGGCAAAGAACTCATGCTCTTCCTCAACACTGAAGTCCTCAGACATTTTTCTTTCGTTGTTTCTTTCTTTGCACAGGTAAACAGCACATTTCTTCTTCTACGCTTGCATTATTGGCAGAGAAGACGCTGAATGCGCACTTTATCTGGTTTGGTCTGCCGCGGTTTCCGTAGACTCGTGAACGCGCTTTTAGGAAATCCTATACACTACTGTTTAGGCTCTAAAAACATTCTAAATGACTTCGTTTCGAGTAAATTATGGACGCTACCCACTCAGGACACTTGGAATACATTGGACGAGCAGTATGGAGGAATATTGACACGTTTTTTGTGGACTTTTATGGACCTTTCTGCCTCGGGCGCTATGGACCTCCATTATTTGAATGTCAGCAGACAGCAAGAAGCCTCCCAGATCTCCAGATGCATTTGAGATATCAAAAAAGTACTCCAGAGTGTTGTTCAGCATGGGGGTGAGTAGAAAATGAAGGCTAATCATGTTTTGGGTGTACTATTCCTTTAAGTCCCAATATGCTGGTAACTATGGTGAAACACATAAGTGGATGCTATCTGCAATTTAACCACTAGATGGCAGCAATTCTTAAACTTTAAAGTCTGTCTTTACCTCAGTCTTCATGCATTTTCAGGGGTGATCTTTTAGTTAGTCTTTAGAGGAGGATTTAGATTTCTGCTGAGCCTGAAACACAAACACATGAGTATAAAATTAATAACCATCGTACAAAAAGTTTACTTTAAACTGGTGGGAAAATCATTCGCCCCTTTGGACGATTTTGGATCATTTTGGACCCATCCCCGATCTGATTCAGGTTGTTAACAGATTATAAATAACAGGCTGCAGATCAGAGACAATGTTTTACTGACCAGGTAGGAGCCAGTATGGAAGCCACACATGTACCACATCATCAACATGTTTGTGATGGCATTGACATCCAGACAATCGCCTTTATCGTTCTCAAAAAACGTCCAAGGAGGAGGAGAAGGGATGGAGGACAGTGGGTCCTAAAGAGAGAGACGAGTGTGCTGAGTCACTGACAGATCACTACACACCAGAATTCCTTACAAAAAATGCAACTAAACATAAAATAAAGTTGAAACAGTTAGGCACTGATGGTAACCATTAGAAAAATAAACGGTTAATACAAAATGTGATCAACATCTTAGCATTGGAACAGGATGTTCTAAATCTGCAAACATCATAACCAAACAGTTCCCAATAATCTGAGAACCTCCTGACCATCAAACACCACTGAAGAAGAAACAACATAATCCAGAAACCACATTCTGATGGAACCACTTCTAGTTTTGTGTATCTATACGACTGTATGTTATAAAAAATAATCAAACAGCTGCAGCTCATACAAAAACACATCCAAATCCTGACAGGAAAAAATGCCTGGATGGTTTTGGGTCTAAACTTTATGTTAGAGGCCAAAAGTGGGATAACAAGGATGCATATGAAGAGGAACAAGTGGTAATACAAGCCGCTTTTTCTGCTGTGCATCCATCATGCGACTCCCTTTAACAGTGTTTGTTTTACATTGCGTTCCCCTCAGTATGAAATTGGAAAAATAACGTCTGCAAACTTCACAAAAGTTTTCCAAGAATCCTGTTTAGCTGCCTCAATTAGACCTTTTTGCAGTTTTTGTTATCCCTGAATTTTCTTTTCTTTAAACATATATTTTGTATATAATAAAATCCTCCCTGTTCTGTTTCGTATTATGTGTGCATTTTAGTCATCACTAAGGCCCCATCTAGCCATTTTAACTAAAAATTGCATAGCTCTGTGACAATGACTGTAGCTTTGCTTTTTAAATTTAACAGCAACTGTAATCAAATTATTATTTACCTTTTTTTTTTTACTTTTTAGAATGTAACCCAGTCAAAGCTGGGATATTGTTTCCATTTATGGTACAAGTGGAAAGAAGGGAAAAATGCTGCGCAGTCCCCCACAATTCAAGACATCTAGTTAACGTAGCCTTCAGAGACCTGATTATTCTGTGCTCCCAGGAGAAGCAGCATTTAGCTTCTATGCTACTTAGCTTTTGAAAAAACTCCTTACATTGCTAAAATTCTATGGCTAAAAGCAGTTAACATGCATGTCTATCATGTTCTAGATCTATATTAAAAAGTTTTTAGTTCATTGCTTTTAACAAACCAGAGCTTATATATTAATTATTTTTAACATTTATTTCGTCTCTGTCCCTTCATCCCTTTAAAGCAGTCTGAATTACTCTATGCTTTCTGAAATGTCCTAATATATGAAACATGTTATTCTAATTAAATCATTCAAGTTGTTTAAGGATCATCATTAGTTTTTTCAAGCAACATTTAACATTCCAATGAAATTTGTTCTCTGCATCTGACACATCAATTACAAGGCAGTTGGCCACTACCATTACCGGGCTGAGGGACTTGCTAGAGCAGCAACCTCTGGGATTTAAACCAGAAAACCTGAGCCCAATTACCCCTAAACTCAAAAATCTTTAAACTTAATACATTTTTGAAAAATGTTAAAATATATTTACATTTTCTAAATAAATAAAAGAAATAAACAGAATCTCTCTTTAGTGACATTAGAAAAACAACAAACTAAAAAGAACAAAACAAATGTGGTTTTACATTTGGTTTGTCAAACAAAATATGAAATTTACCATGGAGCCAATGCGAGGAGGAGTGAAAGGTGGGAAAAAGTTTGCGAAATTCCTCTTCTCTGCTGCTTCCTCGTCTATTTTACTCTGATTGCCAGCTCCCTTTTTCATCTAAAAATATCCAAGGGCAACAATAGTGAGACTTATCCTACTCCAACTTATAGGTTTAAAAAATATCAAAGTGAAACGAATAATCAAGTTTTTCACATTACCATTCATTAGCACTGATAGACCACAACACAACAACATGGAAAGGCCAACAGAACAGAAAAACCACGTAGGAATAAATAGGTTAGCTTTGCAGAGAACACAATAAAACACTGGCGAAAGCCGTAAATTCATATTTATGGTGAAGTAGAAAATGTTTTATAATAAGGCTTGATTGAAAGAAACTTAAAGCAAGTAAAAAAAAAAACATCTTATTTTGTCAACCCTGGCTAGAGAGGATTTATTTCTGCAAACCAAGGTAAAAATATATTTTCTAAATTTACATTCAATTGCAATCACAAGAAATACTACCTTAATGCTTCTTGGAATTTATGCTGAAAAGGCATTTGATAGAGTAGACTGGCTATACCTCCAGAAGACCTAAAAATATATAGGATTTAGTGTAGGAATTAATATAGGAAGGGGAACATATTACGGTGATGTTTTTTCGCCATTTTTATTTGCACTTAGCTCTGAACCTCTGGAACAGATTAAATTCTCAGATCAAAGGATAACGCACCAGCGTGGACATATTCATATAGTTGCATTATTTCCAGATGACATCTTATTTTTGTCAGATCTCTTTGCTTCTATCCTGGTCTTGATGATAGCCCTCCGGTCTTATGTTGAAATACCTGGCTATAAAAAGCTCAAAATGAGTCTGAGGCAATGATGCTGACTGGAAACTGGCCTGTAGAATTTAATATAATCTCACACCTTTAATTAGCCACTGTAGGTTTTAAATACCTGGGTGTTACTATCACACCAAAGAATGCAAATTTATTTAAGGCAAATTATAGGAAAAATTCATAACTAAATTAAAAGTGGACTTTGCCAGATGGGATATTTTAACCCTGAGATTGATTGGTGAGGTTTAAGTCAAAAAGAATCTATGTGCTTCCCAGATTCCGTTTCCTTTTTCAATCTTTACCTAGCAAAGTACCAAATAAAACCTTTAAAACAGTAGATCTAGATACAGTTTATATAGAAGCTAACGCCGTTTCTGTTATGGAGATCCCGGTCATCAGAACCAAAACTTTAAAAGACGCAAACCCTGCTGAAGTTTGAATCATCTCTTACTGTTGTCTCCCTCTCTCCTCCTCGGTCTCCCTTGCTTTCATCCCTCCTGCTTCTTTTCCAGTCCGATTTACTGCTGCCTGGGTTGACCCTCAAGCTGTAACCCTGCAGGACCAACAAATAGTTTGTAAATGTTTTGTAACAAATCCTTGTTATAGAAAATCAGACATATACAAGCTTAGAACTTGGCGATAAACCAGATTTTTACCGTTACCGTCATTCACCACTTTAACAGGAGACAATTTTCGCATGTGGGTAAAATAAATAAACTTAATGCTGCTGTTTTGTCTGTGTTGGAAGGTGGCTGGTATTTCCTTCCCTATTACGACACGGCAGTGTGTCTAATAACGTGACTCCACCGATCCAGTCAGATGCATAAACCAAGAGAATGGTGGATGAGACTAGTGAAGAAGTGCTAAAGGACAATTTTTGCTTCTGACACATAGCCTAACATAAATCAGTTGCATTTCCTGCACATGCCTTTATTTTAGATAGACAAGTCAGAGCATTTATTGTTATCGAGATAAAACTGTCAATTTATTATGATATTTATTTGAGGTAGAGCTGGGCGATATGGCGATATATATCGTGAGGACGAGAGAAACATGTCTATCGTGACCTTTCTCCTCTATTTTTTCTATCGTGATAAACTTTTTTATTTTATCTTAACTTTTTTTAGCCAAGATTCTATACTGTTCACTGTCATGGCCGCAAATTGCATAACTGGTGTTCTTGGTTTGAGGTTGGGATTCTCATATTAGGAAACAAGATGATGGGTAAAAAATAGTCAATGAAAGATTTTTTTCAACCCTGTCCATCTGACGGACTATGAAAACATAAAATGCAACATCAGTTGTGGCATATCGTGATATATATCGTTATCGTGATATATATCGTTATCGTGATATAAAATAATCCATATCGTGATATAGTTTTTTTTCCATATCGCCCAGCCCTAATTTGAGGTCGTATTGCACAGCCCTAAGTAAGATAAAGCGCAAAAGATATTATACAGAGAAACCCCCAGTTACCTGGAAATTCTGCATTTTTGACTGTAAAAGGTCCTTCAACATGAACTTTAATGTTTTAAATAACCTCCCCCCCAATATCATCTTAACCTTGGTTGCACCAGCTGCTCTGCACGGCCCATGAAGCTCGTTGGGATGCAACAGGCTGCTGACATCCATTTCCTCCTCGTTGTTGTATTCATCGTAGCGAACACGGCAGCGCTGATCCTTAATCCACAGAATCACAGCAGGATAAACCAATCCGTCTTCTGAATAAACTGCCCGGCAGCGGGAACCAGGCTTCCAGTTCTGAAATACAAACCAGAATTTTGAACATATTGAAATATTAATACATTAAAACCTGGAATGCAAGTCATGGATTAATTCATTCATCTAAAGTTGACTGATCTTATCAATGAACGGAAAATTAACTGATAATCAGACATTTTCTAAAAAAAAAACAGAGTTTTAACTTGTTTCAAGTGGATATTTCCATAACACGAAGGGCTAAACATTTGTAACAACATGCAGAGTTAAGAAAAAAAAAAAAGTACAGTATTATATTTTAGCAATTTATTGTGCCAGCTGTATTGAATAATTGGGAAAAAAAAATCTTACATCAAGAAAAGTTATTACAAAATATAAAAATATACTTTTTTTATAACTTAAGTCACCAATTTAAAATGGATAAAAATGCGCAAAATTTAGAGTGGATGTCAGGATTTTAGCGGTGAATATTTCATAGGGTGTAACCCTTGGTGTATTACATCTTTAGGCTTTGTGTGGCGTCCGGGGGTATCTTCTCTGAAGCGCCATTTTCTGCATTTTGAGGTGGTATGCAGCTAACCTTTTTATCTTGGTTACAACACTACTATTGTCCTGATTATGGGAAGCATGTGCACATGACTAGAGGTGGAAACTTCATAGGAAGACCTGAGATCATTTTATGTACAATCTTATGTTTCATAGGTTAATTCAAACAATCAGAAAGTGTAATGGTACATTCAAACCACTATTTGAGCCGCAAAAAAGTGCCTGTTTCTTCATTTTTGATGCTTGTACAGATTAAGGTCAGACGCTCTTTGCTATATTTGCTGTGATAAGCTGATTAAGCTGGTTTTAATATATTTTTATACGAGAATGTCTACCTGAAAACATCGCCTGTGCAGTTAGTTCATCAAGATTACGATCCTGCCTTAAAATATTATTTCGCTCATAGACCCCCACATAGCAAAAGTGCATCGTCACTGGGAATCCCCAACAGCTGCCTCAGGCCTGATAGCCTCTTGGGGGACTTTCCGCTACTGCTCTTGGAGACTGGAAGTAGACGGTGTTCTTCTGGTATATGGTACAAACTGTAGGCACCAGAATAACAAAAGCGAATATAATTTGCTTTAAGTTTTCAACATTTCAGAGGAGTGACAATAGTGCTCTGCTTCAGCAGTGCTGTCCATCTCCCTGCCATCACCCAGATCAGCTTCTCTGATAGGTTGATGTGGCACATCGAGCAACAACTGTTCCGTTTTTTTCCCCAACTCCAGCATCTGCCGCTTGTGAAATTTTTAACATTTTCGGCAAGTTTCTGGGAGAAAAACAGGGCATACAAGTTTTATTTTTTCAGTACACATTACTAGCTGAAAGCATGGTGGTTGTTGTTAATGTATCTCAGATGTGCGGAGTTACCCGTTTGACCATGACTTAAGCTCCAAATCACACTTTCATCTGTTGTCGTAACACACAGCCATTTGGGGCGTTTGATCCAAGGGAAACACATGACCGTCCCGAAAAGTGTTTGATTCAATATTATATAAATGCATACAAGTGCACAGAAAGATGATTCCAAATATTGATACAAGAAACTGCTGACTAATCGAGAAAAAAATAACAAATAAAAGTTAAAAATAAAGGTGTAGAAATAGACATACTTTGGACTAGGTCTGTTTAAAATGTCCCTTTTATTTATCAATCTATTGAAATTATATATTTAGCAGAAACACTAGATCACTGATAGGACATAGAAAAAACAAGAAATACATCTTTTAAATAGTTCAAGAATAAAAGAGAAGATATTTCTCTGTATGTGGGAAGAATCTACATACTCGTTTCAAATTCAGAAATGTTTAACAAATTGTAAAAAAAAATTCAAAACATTTTTCTTTTTGGATGTCTACGATTTCCAGACTTTCAAAGAAGAAATTAGAATCACTGTGAAATCAGACCTTCATGATTAACTGTGTCTCAAATGAAGGGTGTTTTCTTACAATCATTACCTTTGCTTCCGCAGTGGCGGAATCATCCTTTATAGGAGGACAGGCTGTCTGAATGTCCAGCTCCACTTCCTCCTGCTTCTCTCCTCTTTCTGTCTCCACCAGAGCTTCAGCTTCTATAGGCTGCTCCTTTAAGGATTATTATTTTCAAAATTACCAATAAAGTTTGGCAAAATAAAAGCGCCTCCCTCCCAAATTATCCTTATATGTAAATATATTTATAGTTTGGTTTAGCCCAAGCCTAACAGAACCAATACAAACAGTAATGACCATGGTCCCATCCTGCTTTGCTGGGTACACTCTCTTGATCTAAATCAAAAGCTTTTAATAGCTTTCATTGAGGGATGATGAGAACAGCAAAGTTATCTTGAAGACTATTAATGAAGCATCCTGGGCTTCAGTAATTCAGTAGGTTGATCTCCTCCAGGCCAAACTGTGCTACACTAATGTAAGCAAAAAAAAAAAAAAAAAAAAAAATTACAGCGATTAAACGTGTTAACAGAAGAAAAAAAAACATTTAGGATCTTACATGTTTTTAAACTACTTTTGTTACGGCTTTAGTGTGTAAAAAGCCAAGAGCAGAGCCAAACCTCCAATGTTTCAAGATCTTCCCCCGGCCTCACGTCAGTGTCAGTCACCGCCTCCAGGAAAGGAACCTGTACAGAGAGAAAATCCGCTAGCAGCCATTTTTGACATCTAAGAACTCCCAAAACACCTGAAGTTAACCACCTAAACAAAGCAGCAACATAAAAAAAAAAAAAAAAAAGATTATCCCATAAACGGTCGCCATGTTTTTTTTCTTGTCAACTGCTCAGCTGTATGTTAGCTTCTCGGCTAAATATAGAGCTAACAGTTCAACACTTTCGGTTATTTGTCGGTTTCTAATGTTTCAAGTTTTTGTCTTAATATGTTGAATTGAGTTAAAAATGCGGACCGATTCGATATCATCGTGAGGAACGCAGCTTTCTGTCATGGCGGCCATTCGTCAGAACCAAACAATCGTCACCTCGGTTTGTAGACCTTCTTCTTCGTCTCCTCTCTTCTTTGTGGAATTTTATTTGGCGGTTGGTAAACAACACTACGCCGTACAACACTATGCATTACCGCCAACACTATTTGTGCAGAAGAGTACGGAAGATGATTAGGGCCACTGGAAAAAAAAAGAGTTAACTGATTTTTAAACATTATTTCAGTTTAATATGGGAAAGAAGTCAGAATTCTGACTGTAATCTCAGAATTCAGACTTTTTTTCCCTCAGAATTCTGACTTTAATCTCAGAGTTCTGACTTTAATCTAACATTTCTGACTTTAATCTAACATTTCTGACTTTAATCTAAGATTTCTGACTTTTTTTCTCAGAATTCTGACTTTAATCTCAGAATTCAGACTTTTTTCTCAGAATTCTGACTTTAATCTAAGATTTCTGACTTTTTTTCTCAGAATTCTGACGCGTAAAAAGTTGCCTAATTTCGTCATTTTTCACCAGTGTGTTACTGGCCCTCCCAAACAACTCACATCTTTGTCAGTGAAGCGGAGTGCTCCCTCTCTTCCTTCATGGTGCCCATCTACATTAAGATCCAAAATTCTGAATTCTTATTCAGAAATCTGAGATTAAAGTCAGAATTCTGAGAAAAAAGTCAGAATCCTGAGATTAAAGTCATAACACTTAAAAAAAGTCAGAATTCTGAAATTAAAGTCAGAATTCTGACTTTTTTCTTCATATTATACTGAAATAAAATTTAAAAATCAGTTAACTTTTTATGATTTTTCAGTGGCCCTAACCCTCTTCCGTATATTTGGACTGAAACAACATTTTAAAAAATGATGTCAAACAAAATCGATCAAAATTTTAATTTTAAGGAACTATCAGGTAATGAATTTTGCTGGAATAACTCCAATATATATATATATATATATATATATATATATATATATATATATATATATATATATATATATATATATATATATATATATATATATATATATGTATAAGCTTTCATTTTAGATAGATTTATTATCATTTACAGTCCTTTCAAAACTATATTTAAATAAATTTAAAAATTACATGAATTAAACTTTATTTTAAATGTGTTTTAATGTATCCAGTATCAAGGCTAACTGATCCCTTCTTATACCTAATTGTGGCTCTCCAGTTTCTACCAATAAATATGCTGTAGATGTTGTTTTAATATCTCCAGTAATAATTCTAATTGCTTGATGTTGAATGGTGTTTAAGGTTTCTAAAGGTGTTTTTGAAGATGAATTCTAAGCATTTTTGTTAACCTACATGATTGTAATATTGTGTTCCTAAATCCTGATGTATTGTTATTGGGTAATGATCACTGCTTATTTGTTTGTTGTTTTTTATTAATGACATGTCATGAACTAGAAACTTGATAAATAACTTGAAACTAGTGTAATATCTACTGATCTTTATTTACATCAATCCTTCTGCTATTCCCATTATTTATACACACTCAATTTTTGTCATCCATAACTTCTTTAATTATTATTCCATTGTCACCATTATACCTATCAAATAATATGTCAATTCAAATCACCACAGCAAATTAACATTTCTTCTAAATGGTTGTCCAATGATTCAGCAGACAATCTTTTCCCTTGGTTATAAAAAATTATAACTTTAATGTTATTTCCAACCCAGATTTCTAGGAATATTTATTCCAAATCTGACCGTTTTGTTAACAAACTATATTTGATTCCTTCTTTTATAAATATAAGTCCTCCTTCCCTACCCTCTTCTCAATCTCTTCTTACATTCTTTCAATATAAAATCTAGATGAGATTTAAGCAATGTTTCCTCAATACAAATTATGTCTACTTTATTGCTGTGTATGTTAAATAATGTGAGTTTAATTCTAAAAGCAGAAATAAGAAAAAAAAACAAAAAAACTTTTAAGCAATGTAAACATATATTATGTAACACAATTGATGTCTAACGATACTGAAGATGGCATCTAAATTTTATTTTAAATCAATGATAAACTAAAACAGTTAAAACAGAAGGGTATTTTTTACATTATGCTGATGACATTTGATTATTTCCTGCTCAAAACCTAATTTGATTTGATCAAAGTGAGCTTGGATTATTTCTTTACAAAAGCCAGAAAATATAAATACACCTTCAACATTACAGTACATTAATATATTTTCCCATTTCCTTTGAATATATAAAATCACAAAACAGTTTTCATTAAAGGTTCTTCTACCATCTTTCGTTCTTCTGGGTTCAATTTACAGGCTGATGTAATCTTTATTATAAACATTTACTCTACTTTTCAAGGAGATTTTTGTAAACTGTCATGTTGGGGTCGAGTCTCCAAACCCACTTGCAGAAAACACTCCAGAGACAGGAAATACAAAAGTGAGATATATTAACAATTAATTCAGACAAAGATTTATGGATTCCTTGGTTCATCAGGCTGATCTCAGGGGGCAACTAGGGGAGGACAGAAATGATTAGTCTGGATCACGGAAACTTGCTGTTTGGTGGTAGTTTAGGATTAATACCTTTTTGGGGGGTGCTTCAAACCGGTGGGGGGGGGGGACCTTGAGGGTCTAGAGGCCGGTCGGCAGGTTGAGGGATGAGGTCAGAGGCGGCGGTGGAGGGCAGACAGGTAAGGCTCCAGGCAGCGAGGGTTCTGTCTTGTAGGTTGGTTGATCTCCAGATTATTCAGGATCTGAGTAGCAGAAAACACAGAGACAAGGGGATTCAGAATCAGGAAAAAGATCAAATGTTAAAAAAATTAAATGCGGCCGGAAATTTAAACCCGTATCATGGAACTGAAACTTAATGCGTGGCCCTGTCTTGCAATTACCCTTTGTATTGTCTCATAATCCAGATCTGCGCTTTGGAAGATGGTAGTTGCTAATCACAACGTAGGGAGTATGGATGAGGAAAGGCCTGAAGAGGAAACATATTCTTGAGACAAAAGCCAGAAAAACCCTTGGCCATATTTGGAAGGATTATTTGTTTTCAAATGCACAAAAGGTAACAATGTGATAATGCAGTGCAACATGTGCCTGGCCAGCAAAACAGAGCTTTCGGCTTTTAAAACATCAACATCCAATTTACAAAAACATGTGGCGGTAAGTTAGCGCGTGTGTTTTTATCTCCGACATCCCAAACGGTTTATTTATTATTTATGTATAAGCGAGCTTTTGGCTTGTTAGCACTTGCTTAGAATCAGCTAGTTCGGAGTATCCAAAGTTTGATTGAGCTGGGAATACAAGCATTACAGGTATTGATGTTTTCTTAATGTGGCGATAAATTTACAGCAAAGAGAGCAAGACTCACAGCAAAAACCTTTGAAAATCATTTGCTGCTGAAATTGAACAAGAGCTTTACCGGTATACAGTTGTAGATTTGGGGCAGTTTTGTGGGACACTGTATTTTGAAGTCATATCCTGTGAGCACTTTCTTTTAAATTGTTTGATCCTTGTTTTTAATTTTGTTTTATTGTGAACAGTGGGATCATGTGGCATTTTATTTAATAACAGTGGGATCCTGTTGCATTTAAGTTTGATTTCTGGTATCTATTGGGCAATTAATTTTGTCTGCATTTGGAATACTTTAAAATGTAGTTTAAATTTCTTTATTCCTATCATGGTGTTATCTGTTGGACATTAGGATAGAAAATTGTTTGCACTTTATGGTACAGGTTGTGATTGTCCTTGTGCTGTGAGAAAGTATGTTCCTTAGCCCAGGTGATCTTTTGCAAGTGTGGATGTCCACTGAAATACGCCTTGAAATTGATTAAAACACCTTGTGCTCAATTCGATTCATGACTCATCCTTTTTTTGCATTAAATAACTCAAATTAACTAAGTAACTTTTACACAAATTACATTTTAAATGAAGTAATTTCGTACTTTTACTTACTTACTTTTACTCTGAGTAGAATTTAGGCAGAGTAAAGATGCTTTTACCCAATTTACAAATTTTTGTACTCTTTCAACCTCTGTTCCAAATGAGAAGATAGAGAACAGGTGTGCAGAAGTCGACTCATGCCCTCAGGAGGAAGGTCTCAGGCTCCCTCTGGTGGAGAAAGGTTGACAAACCTCTGGATCCCAACATAAACTATTCAAAAAATGGAAGACAAAAATAAAATAAAATTGGAGATTCCAGGCTATCGACAAAATTGTTCAAATATCATCCAGGTTTTATAAACCTGTTCTGCTGGTAGTTTTACAACATGCATCACATGATTGATATAAATACAGACCAACTGCAGGCTTCAAACTATCAGCCCACTCTGATCTTTCCACATACATGCCAACACTTAGTGGACATCAAGGAGCTACATCGTGTGAAAAAATATTGTCTCTGAAGTCCATTACTGTAAAAATGTCCAAAGCCGTATATTGATTATTTATTCCCCAGATACACAGTATTTATATTGTAAAACACTTTACAATTGAGTATTTTATTTGTTTATTTTCTTAACTCTGTAACTTATTGAGTTATTTTTATACACTTTTCTAAGGTCCACATGGTGTAACCACTTTTGCTATAACCGTTTGCTGCTGCAACAACACAATTTCCGCGTTGTGGGAGAATAAAGGGATTTTGTATTCTGGTCTATTATATTCCAGAAAAGTAAAAAAAAAAAAAAAAAAAAAACAAACCACTGTACTTTGTGTCCAAAGAAGACGTTTTGCTCCAGGAAGCTTTTTCAATTCAAAAAAGCTTCCTGGATGGGATGCAAAACTTCTTCAAACTTGGAAATAAAGTTCAGTGGATGTTTTTTTTTTACTGTTTTGGAATGACTATGGCCTGGATGACTGAGAATCTTCACCAGCATATTATCACTTTATCAAAAAACTGTGTTTAAAATGAAAATCAAATAACAAAAGTACAGGGACCCACAGTACAAGTTACCTTTATGAAACATTTTACCTGGCTTTGCTCCGTAGCTTCCCAGTGCGTCATCTTGGTGCTCCAAAGTTGAACATATAGTCGGCATGAGAGGATCATATCGTCACACTCTGTGCTCCGGTAACCAGCCTGGGAAACCTGAAACATAAGGCCATTGTTGTGAATTTTTATTTTCAAAGATACAAAAAAAAACAAAGCACAACTTTAAACTGGAAGTTTCTGTTTATTAGTTAATAAAGTCATACATATTTAAACTGTATTTGTATGTTTCGGAGGAGATTTTAATTATTATGAGTTTACAAATTTCTGTAGTGCACAACTTCTGTCTAATATGCACATAATTGTACTTGTATGTACAAAATTATTTTGGTAGTAATCTTACCCCATAATGGCGAGTGTGGTGGAGGTTTTGCAGGTAGAGTTGAACTCCAGAGATGAAGATTAGGGTGGAGGTTTTGGAGGCAGGTTTAATCTCTGCAGATGAAGGTTGAGGTGGAGGTTTTGCAGGCTGGTTTAAACTCTAACGATGGAAGTTGAGGTCGAGGTCTTGCAGGCTACTTTAAACTGTTCAGATCGAGGTTGAGGTGGAGGTCTTGCAGGCTGGTTGAATCCCTTCAGATGGAGGTTGAGATGGAGGATTTGCAGGCTGTTCTAATCTCTGCAGATGGAGAGTGATGTAGAGGTTTTGCAGGCTGGTTTAAACTCTGCAGATGGAGAGTAAGGTGGAGTTTTTTCAAGCTGGTTTACCTTTTGCAGATGGAGATTAAGGTGTAGGTTTTGCAGGCTGGTTTAATCTATATATATGGAGAGTAAGCTAGAGGTTTTGCAGGCTGGTTTAAGCACTGCAGATGGAGGTTTAGGTGGAGGTTTGGCAGGCTGGTTTAATCTCTGCAGATGAAGGTTGAGGTGGAGGTTTTGCAGGCTTGTTTAAACTCTGCGGATGGAGGTTGAGGTGGAGGTTTTGCAGGCTGGTTTATCGTCTGCAGATGGAGGTTGAGGTTTTGCAGGCTGGTTTATCGTCTGCAGATGGAGATTGAGGTGGAGGTTTTGCAGGCTGGTTTAATCTCTGCATATGGAGGTTGGGGTGGAGGTTTTGCAGGCTGGTTTAATCTCTGCATAGGGAGCGTAGGGTCGAGGTTTTGCAGGCAGGTTTAAACTCTGCAGATGAAGGTTGAGGTGAAGGTTTTGCAGGCTGGTTTAAACTCTGCAGATGAAGGTTAAGGTGGAGGTTTTGCAGGCTTGTTTAAACTCTGCAGATGAAGGTTAAGGTGGAGGTTTTTCAGGCTGGTTTAAACTCTGAAGATGGAAGTTGAGGTGGAGGTCTTGCAGGCTGGTTGAATCTATTCAGATGGAGGTTGAGATGGCGGTTTTGAAAGCTGGTTTAATCTCTGCAGACGGAGGTTGAGGTGGAGGATTTGCAGGCTGTTCTAATCTTTGCAGATGGAGAGTAAGGGAGAGGTTTTGCAGGCTGGTTTAAGCTCTGCAGATGGAGGTTGAGGTGGAGGTTTTGCAGGCTGGTTTATTGTCTGTAGAAAGAGTTTGAGTCAGAGGTTTTGCAGGCTGTTTTAATCTCTGCAGATGGAGAGTGAGGTGGACGTTTTACAGGCTGTTTTTATCTCTGTAGATGGAGGTTGAGGTGGAGGTCAACTCATCGGGTTGTTTTGACTCTGTTCCAGGAAAGATTTTTTTTTTATCCAGACAGCTTTGATTTAAGGTATGAAGAATTAGCCTGAACTCTTAAAGAACTATTTACAAAGTTGTTGTTTTGTTTTTCAGTGTTTTTCTGAGTGTCTGTCTTGGAACTTTTATTTTAATTAATCCAAGATGTAAAAAGGAGGATTTTCCCTGCTGCCATAGGTGATCTCTACATTAATCAGGGCATTTTGGCTAGCTGACATTGTAATTGAAGGCTTCTTCATCCTCTCCCAGAGCTTTTGCTTTATAACACGGCCTAGGTTGAGACTGTAAGGACGTCTTTGACCACTTTTGTACCTGTGAAAAGCAGAAATTTCAAAAATGACAACAGAACAGCATGGCTTTAATAGTTTTAGATTCTTTAAGACTAAGTGTTGAGGTCCCAACTTCCAATATAAATATAAATTTACCTCAGCATGTCATCGACCACTTCCTGATAAATCTCCTGGTACTCTTCTACTGTGTGATTGTGAATCATCACAGGCTGATTGTCCTGCACAGCAGCAGTGGAGGACTGGTTCAGGATTGGCAGAGGAGAGACTGCTGGGAGGTCTGCTGGGTCGATGGTAGCCCGAGGCTTAGCAAGCAGCCTTTCAGCCTCAGTGGTGCATTGGGCAGGAGCTGAGATGGCAACCAGAGGTTGGTAGGGACTGGCTGCCTTTGAACGCCTCCTCTTCTGGGCAGGACTGGCAGAGTCAGGAGAGCGATGGCGTTTTCTAGAAACTTTAGTGGTCTGGAGAAGATAAGAAAGTTTGGAGTAGAACCTACTTAGCAGTTCATTTCACTAAAACCACACAGCAGATCATCTAAGTTGTCTCCTGGGATATTTACTTCATCACAGAATCTGCTTCTTTTCCAAAGATTTATTCTTATGTTAAATGTATCAATAGTATTTTTTTTTCATGTGTTTTAAAATGAGAATTAGATTTTACCTGCTCATTTTGACAGCATGGACATTTTCTTTTAGTCCTGCCCGCTCAAGTTCTCGCTGCTCTCTGATTGAAACAAAAATTGACAGGAAGACCACATGATAAAACACACATTAGACTGAGGCTGTGTATGTTAAATAATGTGAGATTAATTCTAAATAGCAGAAATAAGAAACAAAAAAAAAAATTTCAAGCAATGTAAAAATATATTATGTAACACTATCGATGTCTACAGATGCTGAAGATGGCATCTAATTTTTAATTGAAATCAATGATAAACTAAAACAGCTAAAACAGAAGGTTTTATTAACATTATACTGATGACATTTGATTATTTCCTGCTCAAAATCTAATTTGATTTGATCAAAGTGAGCTTATTTCTATACAAAACCCAGAAAATATAAATACACCTTCAACATTACAGCACATTAATATCTATTTTCCCATTTCCTTTGAATATTTAAAATCACAAAACAGTTTTCATTAGAGGTTCTACGTTCTTCTGTGTTCAATTTACAGGCTGATGTAATCTTTATTATAAACATTTACTCTACTTTTCTGGGAGATTTTTGTAAACTATTCAAAAAATTGAAGTTAAAAAACAAAACAAAAAAACGAGGGAATCCAGGCTTTTGACTAAAGAGTTAAAATCTCATTTAGGTTTTATGAACCTGTTCTGCTGGTAGTTTTACAACATGCATCACATGATTGACATAAATACAGACCAACTGCAGGCTTCAGAGCCTTGAAACTATCAGCCCACTTTGATCTTTCCACATACATGCCAACACTTAGTGGACATCAAGGAGCTACATCGTGTTAAAAATATTGTCTCTGAAGTCCATTACTGTAAAAATGTCCAAAGCCGTATATTGATTATTTATTTGCCAGATACACAGTATTTATATTGTAAAACACTTTACAATTGATTATTTTATTTGTTTATTTTCTTAACTCTGTAACTTATTGAGTTATTTTTATACACTTTTCTAAGGTCCACATGGTGTAACCACTTTTGCTATAACAGTTTGCTGCTGCAACACCACAATTTCCCCGTTGTGGGAGAATAAAGGGATTTTGTATTCTGGTCTATTATAATCCAGAAAAGTTAAAAAAAAAACAAAAAAACAACAACAATCCACTGTACTTTGTGTCCAAATTTGAAGATGTTTTGCTTCCCATCCAGGAAGCTTTTTCAATTCAAAAAAGCTTCCTGGATGGGAAGCAAAACTTCTTCAAACTTGGAAATAAAGTTCAGTGGATGTTTTTTTTTTACTGTTTTGGAATGACTATGGCCTGGATGACTGAGAATCTTCACCAGCATATTATCACTTTATCAAAAAACTGTGTTTAAAATGAAAATCAAATAACAAAAGTACAGGGACCCACAGTACAAGTTACCTTTATGAAACATTTTACCTGGCTTTGCTCCGTAGCTTCCCAGTGCGTCATCTTGGTGCTCCAAAGTTGAACATATAGTCGGCATGAGAGGATCATATCGTCACACTCTGTGCTCCGGTAACCAGCCTGGGAAACCTGAAACGTAAGGCCACTGTTGTGAATTTTTATTTTCAAAGATACAAAAAAAAAAAACAAAGCACAACTTTAAACTGGAAGTTTCTGTTTATTAGTTAATAAAGTCATACATATTTAAACTGTATTTGTATGTTTCGGAGGAGATTTTAATTATTATGAGTTTACAAATTTCTGTAGTGCAAAACTTCTGTCTAATATGCACATAATTGTACTTTTATCTACAAAATTATTTTGATAGTAATCTTACCCCATAATGGAGACTGTGGTGGAGGTTTTGCAGGTAGATTTGAACTCCAGAGATGAAGATTAGGGTGGAGGTTTTGGAGGCAGGTTTAATCTCTGCAGATGAAGGTTGAGGTGGAGGTTTTGCAGGCTGGTTTAAACTCTAACGATGGAAGTTGAGGTCGAGGTCTTGCAGGCTACTTTAACTGTTCAGATCGAGGTTGAGGTGGAGGTCTTGCAGGCTGGTTGAATCCCTTCAGATGGAGGTTGAGGTGGCGGCTTTGAAAGCTGGTTTAATCTCTGCAGATGGAGAGTGATGTAGAGGTTCTCCAGGCTGGTTTACCTTTTGCAGATGGAGATTAAGGTGTAGGTTTTGCAGGCTGGTTTAATCTATATATATATATATATATGGAGAGTAAGCTAGAGGTTTTGCAGGCTTGTTTAAGCACTGCAGATGGAGGTTGAGGTGGAGGTTTTGCAGGCAGGTTTAATCTCTGCATATGGAGCGTAAGGTTGAGGTTTTGCAGGCTGGTTTAAGCTCTGCAAAAGGAGGTTGAGGTGGAGGTTTTGCAGGCTGGTTTAATCTCTGCAGATAGAGAGTGATGTGGAAGTTTTGCAGGCTGGTTTAAACTGCACATGGAGGTTGAGGTGGAGGTTTTGCAGGCTGGTTTTATCGTCTGCAGACGGAGATTGAGGTGGGGGTTTTGCAGGCTGGTTTATTGTCTGCAGACGGAGATTGAGGTGGGGGTTTTGCAGGCTGGTTTTATCTCTGCAGATGGAGGTTGAGGTGGAGGTTTTGCAGGCTGGTTTATTGTCTGCAAACGGAGGTTGAGGTGGAGGTTTTGCAGGCTGGTTTAAACACTGCAGATGGAGGCTTGAGGTGGAGGTCAACTCATCAGGTTGTTTTGACTCTGTTTTTTTCGATCCAGATAGGTTTGATTTAAGTTATGAAGAATTAGCCTGAACTCTTAAAGAACTATTTACAAAGTTGTTGTTTTGTTTTTCAGTGTTTTTCTCATTGTCTGTCTTGGAACTTTTATTTTAATTAATCCAAGATGTAAAGAGGAGGATTTTCCCTGCTGCCGTAGGTGATCTCTACATTAATCAGGGCATTTTGGCTAGCTGACATTGTAATTGAAGGCTTCTTCATCCTCTCCCAGAGCTTTTGCTTTATAACACGGCCTAGGTTGAGACTGTAAGGACGTCTTTGACCACTTTTGTACCTGTGAAAAGCAGACATTTCAAAAATGACAACAGAACGGCATGGCTTTAATAGTTTTAGATTCTTTAAGACTAGGTGTTGAGGTCCCAACTTCCAACATAAATATAAATTTACCTCAGCATGTCATCGACCACTTCCTGATAAATCTCCTGGTACTCTTCTACTGTGTGATTGTGAATCATCACAGGCTGATTGTCCTGCACAGCAGCAGTGGAGGACTGGTTCAGGATTGGCAGAGGAGAGACTGCTGGGAGGTCTGCTGGGTCGATGGTAGCCCGAGGCTTAGCAAGCAGCCTTTCAGCCTCAGTGGTGCATTGGGCAGGAGCTGAGATGGCAACCAGAGGTTGGTAGGGACTGGCTGCCTTTGAACGCCTCCTCTTCTGGGCAGGACTGGCAGAGTCAGGAGAGCGATGGCGTTTTCTAGAAACTTCAGTGGTCTGGAGAAGATAAGAAAGTTTGGAGTAGAACCTACTTAGAGGTTCATTTCACTAAAACCACACAGCAGATCATCTAAGTTGTCTCCTGGGATATTTACTTCATCACAGAATCTGCTTCTTTTCCAAAGATTTATTCTTATGTTAAATGTATCAATAGTATTTTTTTTTTCATGTGTTTTAAAATGAGAATTAGATTTTACCTGCTCATTTTGACAGCATGGACATTTTCTTTTAGTCCTGCCCGCTAAAGTTCTCGCTGCTCTCTGATTGAAACAAAAATTGACAGGAAGACCACATGATAAAACACACATTAGACTGAGGCTGTGTATGTTAAATAATGTGAGATTAATTCTAAATAGCAGAAATAAGAAACAAAAAAAAAATAAAAAATTTCAAGCAATGTAAAAATATATTATGTAACACTATCGATGTCTACAGATGCTGAAGATGGCATCTAATTTTAATTGAAATCAATGATAAACTAAAACAGCTAAAACAGAAGGTTTTATTAACATTATACTGATGACATTTGATTATTTCCTGCTCAAAATCTAATTTGATTTGATCAAAGTGAGCTTATTTCTATACAAAACCCAGAAAATATAAATACACCTTCAACATTACAGCACATTAATATCTATTTTCCCATTTCCTTTGAATATTTAAAATCACAAAACAGTTTTCATTAGAGGTTGTTCTACCATCTTTCGTTCTTCTGTGTTCAATTTACAGGCTGATGTAATCTTTATTATAAACATTTACTCTACTTTTCTTGGAGATTTTTGTAAACTATTCAAAAAAATTTAAGTTAAAAAAACAAAACAAAACGAAGAAATCCAGGCTTTTGACAAAAGAGTTAAAATCTCATTTAGGTTTTATGAACCTGTTTTGCTGGTAGTTTTACAACATGCATCACATGATTGACATAAATACAGACCAACTGCAGGCTTCAGAGCCTTGAAACTATCAGCCCACTTAGATCTTAGTGGACATCAAGGAGCTACATCGTGTTAAAAATATTGTTTCTGAAGTTTTCGCCAACTATCAACTGTCAAAGTGAAGCAGCAAACACTTTAAAATAGATTGTTGAAAGAATAGCTATTTAATTTATATTAATTTTATTTTTTTTCACAGAAATACTTTAAAGTAACAGTTGGAAGCTTCTTATTTCAGCAGGATTATAGATAAAAAATGTTAAAATTAGGGCTGGTCAACGATTAAAAGTTTTAATTGCGATTAATCTCATGATTTCCCTGATTAATTGCGATTAATCACATTTTTATACGCAAAAAAACAATAATGAATTCAAAAGTAGTGTATAGCACAATTTTATTTTAAATGTTCTGCCATATTAAAGGAAGTGCCATAACATTTGTTCTGCAACATTTAACATCAGCATTTTGTTTATACAATAGCAGTTAAATAAAAACTGCTCACAAAATCCTGAGTCACAATCATAACATTAAAACAGGCAATTTCTGAGGTAACAGCAGAAAAAAAAATTTTTTTATCAGGGAGCAGCATAACCAGTCTAGTAGAGTGAGATGAAGCACAAAAAAACTTCACTGCTGGGATTTACTATGCAGGGAAATGGTCTGTAAATATACTAATCAGCCTTTGTTAGCTTCTCCTGCCTTTGTTTATACTTCTCCCACACGTTGCATCTAACGTAGTCTGCTGAAGCCTCGCGCCACTGTCTGTCTCGTTAAATGATTTGCTGGTATCAACTGTGTGTTTTGCATTTAGGTGATATTTTAGACTCGAAGTACTCCGGTGATAAGACAATTCAACTTTGCAGTGATTACAAATAACTTTGCTTCTGTCGACTGCGCCGTCTGAAAGAACTTTAAAATGAAAACGGCCATGTAAAAGTGCCGTACCCTTCTCCATGTTTGTTGGTTTGTTTATCCGCCAATTTCTTTTCTTTTTCGCTTCCTGTACTTCCGGTTCCGGTACTTTTAGTTTTACCAAATAAAAGCCTGGGAGCAACAAAATTTTACAGTAATAAAAGAAATAATAAAAACTGCGTTAATACGAGATAAAATAATTGTCGGCGTTAATTGATTGATAAGTTAACGTGATAATAACGAGTTAACTTGCCCAGCCTTAGTTAAAATCAGATCTCATCTTAAAAAATTGTGACCAGTTTACTTTATATCAGTATATTTGCTCAATTCTCTATTTCCTTACCATGTAGTAACACATTTACTCTGACTTTAGACATGTTTCATTAATAGTATGTAGTTTAACCATCATTCAACTTTTAAGATTTGTAACATTTTATCCAATAAATTACACAGAAAACCATGCAGAGTGTTAGAAAACTCATTTCTCACTTCTTTCATGTTCAGAGCTTCAAATTCAAAGTTGGTGAGGTTCTTGGAGACTCTAATTCTTCTTAGAGATCAAGAAGTCAGTCGAAAAAGGTGCTTTCGCAGAGTGAAGTCTGGGAAAATGGGTCTTTAGCGATGAATTTCAGTTGGTTTTTAAATAGTGCGATGATGCACCTGAAGAGGAACCATAGCAACTATGGAATCCTTTGCATCTTTTAAATTAGCTGTTTGTATATTTTGATATAAAGGCTAATAGCCTGTTAGCACTATTAGCACCTCAAACTGACTATGGAAGGACAATCATTGCATAATTTGACTTGGTTTAGAAACCCAAAAGGACACATCATGTGGTTTTTTGTTCACATTAAGGAAATACACTATATTGCCAAAAGTATTTGCTCACCCATCCAAATTATTGGAATCAGGTGTTCCAATCACTTCCATGGCCACAGGTGTATAAATTCAAGCACCTAGGCATGCAGACTGTTTTTACAAACATTTGTGAAAGAATGGGTCGCTCTCAGGAGCTCAGTGAATTCCAGCGTGGAACTGTGATAGGATGCCACCTGTGCAACAAATCCAGTCGTGAAATTTCCTCGCTCCTAAATATTCCACAGTCAACTGTCAGCTGTATTATAAGAAAATGGAAGTGTTTGGGAACGACAGCAACTCAGCCACGAAGTGGTAGGCCACGTAAACTGACGGAGCGGGGTCAGCGGATGCTGACGCGCATAGTGCGAAGAGGTCGCCAACTTTCTGCAGAGTCAATCACTACAGACCTCCAAACTTCATGTGGCCTTCAGATTAGCTCAAGAACAGTGCGCAGAGAGCTTCATGGAATGGGTTTCCATGGTCGAGCAGCTGCATCCAAGCCATACATCACCAAGTGCAATGCAAAGCGTCGGATGCGGTGGTGTAAAGCACGCCGCCACTGGACTCTAGAGCAGTGGAGACGCGTTCTCTGGAGTGACGAATCGCGCTTCTCCATCTGGCAATCTGATGGACGGGTCTGGGTTTGGCGGTTGCCAGGAGAACGGTACTTGTCTGACTGCATTGTGCCAAGTGTAAAGTTTGGTGGAGGGGGGATTATGGTGTGGGGTTGTTTTTCAGGAGCTGGGCTTGGCCCCTTAGTTCCAGTGAAAGGAACTCTGAATGCTTCAGCATACCAAGACATTTTGGACAATTCCATGCTCCCAACTTTGTGGGAACAGTTTGGAGCTGGCCCCTTCCTCTTCCAACATGACTGTGCACCAGTGCACAAAGCAAGGTCCATAAAGACATGGATGACAGAGTCTGGTGTGGATGAACTTGACTGGCCTGCACAGAGTCCTGACCTCAACCCGATAGAACACCTTTGGGATGAATTAGAGCGGAGACTGAGAGCCAGGCCTTCTCGTCCAACATCAGTGTGCGACCTCACAAATGCGCTTCTGGAAGAATGGTCAAAAATTCCCATAAACACACTCCTAAACCTTGTGGACAGCCTTCCCAGAAGAGTTGAAGCTGTTCTAGCTGCAAAGGGTGGACCGACGTCATATTGAACCCTATGGATTAGGAACGGGATGTCACTTAAGCTCATATGTGAGTCAAGGCAGGTGAGCAAATACTTTTGGCAATATAGTGTATTTACAAAGTTGTTGTTTTGTTTTTCAGTGTTTTTCTCAGTTTTTGTCTTGGAACTTTTATTTTAATCATCCTAGATTTTTAGAAGAATTATTTTTTTCTGCTGCCATAGGTGATCTCTACATGAATCAGGGCATTTTGGCTAGCTGACATTGCAATTGAAGGCTTCTTCATCCTCTTCCAGAGCTTTTGCTTTATAACACGGCCTAGGTTGAGACTGTAAGGACGTCTTTGACCACTTTTATACCTGTGAAAAGCAGACATTTCAAAAATGACAACAGAATGGCATGGCTTTAATAGTTTTAGATTCTTTAAGTCTAAGTGTTGAGGTCCCAACTTCCAACATAAATATAAATTTACCTCAGCATGTCATCGACCACTTCCTGATAAATCTCCTGGTACTCTTCTACTGTGTGATTGTGAATCATCACAGGCTGATTGTCCTGCACAGCAGCAGTGGAGGACTGGTTCAGGATTGGTGGATGAGAGACTGCTGGGAGGTCTGCCGGGTCGATGGTAGCCCGAGGCTTAGCAAGCAGCCTTTCAGCCTCAACATAAATTTTTGTTTTATTTTATTTTTTTCTCTGTTAGTCCTGCCAGCTAATGTTCTCGCTGCTCTCTGATTGACACAAAAATTGACAGGAAGACCAAATGATAAAACACACATTAGACTGCAGTGTTGTTATTAAGCCTTTAAACTCTTGGCTGTTAGCTATTAAACTGCTTGCGTTCCATTGTAAAATGATCATACAGCCTTATATCCCCTGTTGTTCCAGGTTTCCCTTCTCCCCTTCCAAATGTTTTATTCATATGCTCTAATGTTACATCCTTTATTCCAAAAAATTCTCTGCACTTTTAACAATAATCTTAATTTCCCCCCCCCCGTTTTGTGTTTTACTTGGTCTGTGCAGTTGATCACATAAGCTTTAAACAGCATGATCTTTCCATCTGTTACTTCTTTATGAATTCTGCCTGACAATCTGACATTTGAAGCATCTTATTAGAGGAGGTATGAAGGGCCTAACTATAAAAGCAGAAGAATCCAATGTATATCTTGTCTGGGAGTTTTTCTGCTTTAAATTTCAGCATGACTATCATGCTGGGAATTCCTTTTCCATCTAAATCTTTCAAAAATCTTGTACCTTTGTAAACTTCTATGTCTGAAACGCTCTTTTAGTTTCTCCAAATCTTCATCCTTTAGAATCCCTGTATTCTCATCTTTTGTTATTTTGTTTTCTCCCAACAAATTTCTTTTCTTTCACATTCTTTTTATATATGTTTTCTATCTGAATGACTTTGTTTCTCTGTTCTTTGGTTTTTACAGCTATTAATAAACTTCCATCATGAAGAGTTTCTAGCAAACTGCACTCCCCCAACTTTCTTCGCCATTCCAGTCTATTCACAAATCAGCATATGCTCACTGCTAAATTCAAAATAATGCCGCTTTCCAATCAGCTTGGCATTCGGCTCCATTTCCCCCCACAACAGGGAAAAAATAAAGTTATTTTGGTTGAAGGACGACTTCATGCCCTCATGCCCTTTACAACACAGTGCACATTAGTTTTTGGACAGCAGGTTGAAGAAGAACTAACTTTTATTTATTTATTTATCTAGATATGAAATCATAGATAAGTGCTCCCTTTACTTGGAGTTTTATAATTTGAATAAAATAATCAGTTTAATCTCCAGTGCAAAAGTGCAAAAAAGAAAAATTGAAAAAAAAGTGTTGAAACTGGATGTGAAAACTACTAATCAGCATTTTCAATCTTTATCATGTTCTCACATTGTTTTGGTAAAATTTTGGCACAATCTCCAATCCACATTTACTTTAATACCTCACTGAAGAATCAAGAGTTTTGTCATCATAAAACTGTTGCAATATTTTATTGGGACCTCTGGCCTAAAATACATACTTTAAACACAAACATTAAAAGAATAAATAAATACTAGAAAATGTACAATTTAAGAAATTACCCTTAGAGATTAAGAAAATTTTGAAGCATTTTTAAAAGATATAAAACATCATTTTAAGAGAGATATATGTACATTGAAATGTAGTCTGTAAAAAAAGGCATGTTTGTGATAAAGTGATGTACATGAAAGGTATATAAGAAAAGTAAAAACATAGAAAACTAAATCACAGTAACATACTAAAGGTTGAGTATAAAGGCATAATAGAAAGCATGTAATATGTAAATGGATTCACATTGAGCTTTGGGAGACTGTCTTACAGCAGTATCTTCAATTAGCTGTCTGGACTTTGACTAGGGCATTAGAGCAATTTGCTGGAAAGGCCATTGCCACTACCAAGAAAGTCTTTCATTACCTTTATTGGATTAGGATACTCTTTTACTCATTCATTAGACTTAACAGCTTGTTGAACAATATTTAAATCTGTAATAATTATAGTTATTAAGGATATTATGTGTTCTCTTTTTTATTATTTAGCTAAAAAGTGCATTTAAGTGATCCAATAGAACCCCTTTGTGCTTAATTTTCTACAGTTGTTAGAATACAAAACCAAAGGAGAAGTGTAAATTAACTGATTTTTTTCCAGCTTTTATTACACTGTAACAACAAACAAACTCTCTGCATTTAACCCATCCTCTTGGGGAAGCAGAGGGCTGCCATTGTGCGGCACTCAGGGAGCAGTGTGGGGTTAAGGCTCTTTGCTCAGGGACCCAGAGTGGCAGTCTGTGGGCGTGGGGCTCGAACTCACAACCTCTGGATTCCAAGCACGACGCCCTAACAACTAGGCCGCAACTCCCCAGCAAAAATTGCCAAATTCTGTTTGTGTTTTTTCTTTTTGTTTTATCTGTCATTTGTTTTATTGTGGATTCAAATAAAAAAGAAAGAGACCCACATTTTTTTGGAGAGCAGAATAAGCAACACCTGGTAGAATAAAACAGACTGTGTATTCTGGCAGGCAGTTTAACAGACTTTAAGCAAACCCCACACTGTGGAGGGGAGAAGTAAAGGA